TATAAAACACATTAACAAAAAAAAATATTGGAGTAGCCCAAGATATAGCCAAAGATTGCAGTCCCACAGCACTAGTGAAAATTTAAATTTGCCAACTGGAATGCTTTTGGATAAACGACGCTCTACTGCTGTGGTTCTTAACCTGTGGTCCCTGAAAGCACCCTAAGTGGTCTGTGAAGTCATCCTAAAATTATTGAATAAATGATGATGATTCAAGCATTGGCTGCTAAAACGTTCCTTGAATACTTTGCTATTACGATGAAAACAGCTATAAAAGTAGTGAACTTCATTAAAAGGAGTGCACTTAATACTCGTCTCTTCAAAAAATTATGCAGTGATATGAACTCTGAACATGAAACGCTACTTTTTCACACCGAAGTGTGATGGCTTTCCAAAAGAAATATGCTGTCGGGGTTGTANTAAAATTAATTAGAAAAAAATATATATTCTCTAAATTTTGAAGTATTGTATTGTTTGTTACAAGTAACCAAACAAAAAGAAAAAAATGGGAACATGTCATTATTTTGTGTGGCGTATAAGCATTTAAGATTAAAATATTATTATTCAGATATTATATGAAACACTATTATTATATACTTAAATTTAGAAACAAATTTGACTTAATACAATATATTTGTTTTAGCAGTGATGAAAAATTCACAATTTATCAAATTGCTAAATACAATAAATCAAATTGCTAAATACAATAAATCAAATTGCTACACAATAAATAAAATAACAACCAAATTCTGCTTTATTGGAACTTGCTCTGTTTTTGAACAGATTTAGGCTATTTAGACAATTTCTTTTGTATCTGCTGATGATAGGATTGGTTGCCTATAGTATTAGGAAGCATGCTACTTGTTGTGAGTGAGATTCCCAATAAAGCACTTGTCTGTGAAGGTTTTTATGTTTACTATATTTACAAGAAATAAGTTAGAATTAATTCTTGTTCTCTAATTGGAATATTACTCTAGCACAAGGGTTGCCAAAGTGGTCGATATTGACCCCCTGGGGTTGATGCAACATCATTGGGGGGTCAATGCAGCTAAGGGTGACAACCCTTTTTTTTTTCTCGTACACTTACACTTGTAATAAAACTTTACAGTGAGTGTCAATGTGAGGTTTTGGAAAGTGGTTGGGGGTCGATGGTTAAAAAAGTTTGGCGACCCCTGCTCTAGCACATGCCTTTTATTATTTCCTGTCTATTTTAATAATAAAAGGCATGTGTTGATACAGAGCAATAAATATGATCTGAAAAAATGCAGTTTGATTACAATTATATAAGATATCATTCTGCAATAGTACAGAATAAGTCATTAGACATATCTAGAGGTAATGGATGGCTGCTGTCGGTTAGACGAAACCTGGCCGTCTTTCTCCATCCATTTCGATCTCCACAAAGACTGTCTTTGTCTTTATCAGAAGGAGGTAAATGTGAATTAGTTAAGTCCACAACCACATTTTAAACTAAAACAATATTTATTCACAACAATCTTATGAGTACACTTGAGAGAGAGCTACACGTGCTCATGGCAGCGATCACCCGACAAGAAGAAGCAACAATACCCAGAATCCTCTGTGGGAAAAAACTCTTGTCCCCGTTTTTCAGTCCAGGATTCTCAGGGAACTCCTAGACGAGTGGCGCCATCTCACAAGTCCGTGATGGTCGCCGCATATCTTTAAAATCCAAACATTTTAATAAGACTATTATTTGATAGGGAACGTACTGTATTTTACATGTAATGTTAGAAAATTTAATATATTTTTATCTTGTCTTTGACATTGAAGTTTGTTACACCCTTTCAACACTATTTATAGTTAGTGGAATAGTAAAATTATGATATTGGGTTCATTAACAACACTACTTGATACAACTTTTATCTTGATTGAAATAAAGGTGGTTTCTTTTCAGCTTAGATGCCATCATTTCAGAAATTGACAAGAAAATGTCATATCACGTCAATTTTCAGATAGCTGATATAATGACTTCAATATCTGCACATATACTGATATAAAGTAGATGATGTAACACCACCTAGATTAGAAACTATTAGTACAGAAAGCACTTTCAATGAAGTAAAACAAGCAACTGAAACTGATATCCCATGGTACTCACGTGTGGAAATGGTAAGCTAAAAATTGCCATTCCATCTTTTGGTGATGGCAAAAGTTGAAATTTTTCAACTTCGTATTCTTTTGACTTTGGTGGCAAAAGTGATGTCATTTTGCCATTCCGTCGTCCATTTCCATGCGAGTACCAGGCTTAAGGCAGCATTTCTCAACCTTCATTAACCTTTGACCCAAGCTTAATATTGTTCTGTGGCCCTCCATAATAATAGCACACTTTGATAGATTTTGCATTGCAGATGTCATTTTTATTGTTAAATTATGTATATTTTCAGCCTTCAAATTTGAAACTTCTGTACATATAGCATTATTATATGTAATTGTTATATTTTGAAATGCTTAAAATTTAGTGTGGAGCTAAACTTATGCCAATTTCTGAGGTGAACGAATGATGGTGCAAAGTTGAAGTTTTACAGTACAGTATATGCACTAAAATATTTTAATAGTAAATATCCTTCTATAAAAAATAAGTTTATTGCATGTAGATTTAAAGTGATATATATGTGTGTTTCTTGTAAATAAAGACATATGTATCATCTAAAAAGAAATCAAACCAAACATTTTTGGTTCAAAATTTCATCATCAAGTTTACTTTGCCTTTTATTTAAGCATAATATTTTTATAATTTACTTATTGAAGTTTAATCATTTTCTTATAAATTTTTTATTAAAATATATATGATATGAAAATTACTGCGGTTCCCTTGACATGTTTTGCGGTCAAATATATGGAGAATATTATTTGTGCTTAAGAAAATAAAAACCTCATATAAATTATTAAGCCTTAAAGTTAGATATTTATTATTCAGGATAAGTCTGTTTTATATTGTAAAAAGTTTTTACAACTTTAAGTTGAAAAATTTGTATTGAAATACAAAGAAATTGTGTTTTCTTGTTTGACTCCACAACACACACAAATTCCTTTATTAAATTTAATCGATACTCATGTATTCTATATAGCTGAACTCTTGATCTTTTTTTAGATAAAAATGTATCAGAACATACTTCAAACATGCAGTCGCTCATTCATATGTCACAATAAATAATTGCTCGTTTGTTGTTGGAAAATTGCTCACTGTCATTCAGAATAAATTCCCACCTAAATGCTGTGAATTCAGTAATAATATATCAGAAAATCAAGCAGGATTCCAGAACAACTACACTGTAGGTGTTGTTAAATTTTAATTTAAAAAAATACTGCTTATTTGGTGGCTGCTTTCAAGTTAGTGAAATTTGCATCATGGTATTTTGCAGCAGTGCCTCAGAAAAAGGTTTATATTCTTTGTTAACATGTGAAACTGATGCTATTATCAAGTATCACTAGTGAAGAACGATAACTTATAAGATCCTAGTGTTCAAGTTACAAAGATAAAAATTAGATTACATGTATTTATTTCATTTTTTAGATGACATGATGAGGTTTACAGAATGTGAGAGTTATTGGGAGTCAAGTTTCCAAGACACTATTGTACCAAGCAATTTGCTAGATTTTTTTTATCAGGCTATATTTGTGCTAATTAATGATCTAAAACAAAGTAGTGTGTCTTGAGATAGGTAATTAAACTGCCATCTCTTGATAAATTTAAGAATTGTAAATAAATAGACTTATTTTTTTGATGTTTGCAATTACATTATACATTATACATACATATACAAACAAAATTATGGTTTTTAAACATATGATGATTTTGCAAGAATGAAAGCAACAATTTTATGAATACTATAACCCAGTAAAATTATTGAAAAGTATTAAATGTCTGATTTTTATGTAGGAATAATGATTAATTGCTCAGGTAAGATTACATGCAAAGCAGTCATTATTATTATTATTATTGTGTTGGGTTTAGTGGGTTATACTCGGTACACACCGGTGGCTGTGTACTATGCCGGACCAGAGTCAAGGCATAGCAACCAAAACAAAACTAAAATTAATTAGAAAAAAATATATATTCTCTAAATTTTGAAGTATTGTATTGTTTGTTACAAGTAACCAAACAAAAAGAAAAAAATGGGAACATGTCATTATTTTGTGTGGCGTATAAGCATTTAAGATTAAAATATTATTATTCAGATATTATATGAAACACTATTATTATATACTTAAATTTAGAAACAAATTTGACTTAATACAATATATTTGTTTTAGCAGTGATGAAAAATTCACAATTTATCAAATTGCTAAATACAATAAATCAAATTGCTAAATACAATAAATCAAATTGCTACACAATAAATAAAATAACAACCAAATTCTGCTTTATTGGAACTTGCTCTGTTTTTGAACAGATTTAGGCTATTTAGACAATTCCTTTTGTATCTGCTGATGATAGGATTGGTTGCCTATAGTATTAGGAAGCATGCTACTTGTTGTGAGTGAGATTCCCAATAAAGCACTTGTCTGTGAAGGTTTTTATGTTTACTATATTTACAAGAAATAAGTTAGAATTAATTCTTGTTCTCTAATTGGAATATTACTCTAGCACAAGGGTTGCCAAAGTGGTCGATATTGACCCCCTGGGGTTGATGCAACATCATTGGGGGGTCAATGCAGCTAAGGGTGACAACCCTTTTTTTTTTCTCGTACACTTACACTTGTAATAAAANTGCGGTCAAATATATGGAGAATATTATTTGTGCTTAAGAAAATAAAAACCTCATATAAATTATTAAGTCTTAAAGTTAAATATTTATTATTCAGGATAAGTCTGTTTTATATTATAAAAACTTTTTACTAGTTAAGTTGAAAAATTTGTATTGAAATACAAAGAAATTGTGTTTTCTTGTTTGACTCCACAACACACACAAATTCCTTTATTAAATTTAATCAATACTCATGTATTCTATATAGCTGAACTCTTGATCTTTTTTTAGATAAAAATGTATCAGAACATACTTCAAACATGCAGTCGCTCATTCATATACAGAAGACCCCTCGTTTATCTTCAGTGCCATCATATAAATGGAAGCGCTTATGAACACAAGAATTTAAAACCTATGAGACCGGTGAAATTATTATTCTCAACTGCCCTGTTTGGAGGAACGTTGATGACTGCCATGGTTTTGCGAAAGCGTCTTCGTAGAGACCTAGAAGACATTTATAGAGACTGTACAGTGCTACCCAAAGATCCTAATTATCGTCACAAAGTATTAACTTATTCTTATAAAAATTATATACTTCCCGAATTTGTCATTAAAAATATGAAAGAAATTCAGAAATTTGAAGTTAGAGACGACGACATTTTTGTTGTTGCTTTTCCAAAAACGGGTAACTTTTTATAGAAAACTTTAATCTTAAATGCTGAATTTGTAAATGAATGAAACTTGTAAAACTTATTCCCTAGGTACAACATGGCTTCAAGAATTAGTATATGTAATTTATAATAATGTAGATCTCAACAAAGCTGCTACTTCTAGTCTTGAAGATAGATTTCCATATTTAGAATTTATATATCCTGGGATATCTGCAGTTTCCAAGATGTCTTCTCCCAGATTCATTAAATCACATTTGCCATTTTCTCTTTTGCCTCAGGATATAAAAGAGAAATCTCCAAAGGTAATTTTTTTTTGTTATATATAATGCTTTAAATTATTTTTGAAATTTACCATTATCTCGTAACAGATATTTTATATTATTCGTAATCCAAAAGATGTGGCAGTGTCCTACTATCATTTTGTTTCTATGCTTACGATGACAGATTATATTGGACAATTTAAAGATTTCTTTGAGAGCTTTATTGAAGATAAAGGTATAATCCAATTTTAGTACTGTATAACTCATGAAGTGTTAAGTAAATACCTGTTGCCAATATTATTTATAGTTCCATATGGTCCCCTGTGGAGACATTACATGGAATTTTGGGAGCATCGAGACGACAATAATATATTTATTATAAGTTATGAAGATCTACAAAGAGTATGTCTGTCTAACTGAAATTTATTTTCATACAAGATGCATCCAGAAAGTAAATACCATTTGAGCATAGCATCTGCACAGATGGCACCAGTGATTGTTCAGGTCTGGAGTGGGAAATTGAATGCAGTTCTGACATTTGTTATCATACTTAAAAATTAGTGGCATTATCAATTTTCTTACTCATTTTCAAGTCCAAACTGTCTAATCTGTTAGCTAAAAACTTTCATCCAGTTCAAATTCATCAAGAGATTTGCAGTGTTATGGTGAAAAGGCAGTGACCAAGAATGATTAAAGCAGGAAGAACCAGCATGCATGATGATGAATGGAGTAGGTTTCTCTTGTTAATCACTGCTGACTTTCTAGTGCAGATGAATGGAAATAAGAAAATTAAATAAACATATGAGACAAGTGCATTTAAGAGTACATTACTTTTTAACATTGATTTTAAAGCCACAAGACCAATTTTTTATTCACAATTGCGAGTACTTTCGATAGTTTATGACTATTCTCTTCAGGCTGATTCGATTGAAATTGAACAAGGTTTTTATATTTAAATAAAATTCTAACATAATGGATAACACTTTAAATTTATTACATTTAAAAATGTGCACTTATGGAAAGTCTAATCGAATTAGCCGGAAGAAGATAGTCGTAAACGATCAAAACTATGTGCAATTGTGAATAAAATGTTGATTTTAATGCCACAAGACATAATGTTAAAAAGTAACATACTGTGAATGGAAAAATTTGAGAAATCTAATAAACAGAAAATTCAACATTTTTGAACTCCATGCATATTTTCCTAAAATTTCTCTCTCTCCTCCACAAATTGGCACAGACCATTTGCATTATCACAAGCTCTGCACAAGATGGATGTCAAAATAGTTGACAGATGACCACAGACTCAATGTACAGAAACTGTACTGACATTTTTGACAACTGTACTGTTATCAGAAGGATAGCAACAAGTTCTTGGCCCATATTTTGACAGAATATGTAACTTGGATTTCCTGTATGACACTAGAGAGCAAACAACAATCCATGCAATGGTAGCATATGGATTCTCTGCTACAATTTTTTGGAATCAACATGTTGTTCATGCGCAGAGGCCAAACGACAAATGCATCTGCCTACACCTACTGTGAAAGCCTACAAAAACTGTGGAGAACTACTCAGATCAAAGATGAAGTCTTGCATCTGGAGTCATTCTGCTGCAACATGCCAACTTCTGCAAAGACTCTGGCATCCATCCTACTGCCCAGATCTTGCATGTACAAACTTTCACACATTTCTTCCGTAATTTTTATCAGGAAAAATTCAATAGCAATAACACTGTGAAAGTTGGCTTGCAGAACTGATTTAACACACAGGTGACACACCTCTTTGCAGAATGAATTGTAAAGCTTGTGCATCACTATAACAAACATCTGTATCCAATATAATGTTAAGATAAAAGATATACCTTGAAAGCAAATCATCATTTCAATTTTTGCAAATGGTGCTTACTTTCTGGACATTGCTTGTATATTATCAATTACTTTCATTCATTTAAAACTTTTTTATGTAGGATATGAAAGGTTGTATAGAAAAAATTGCAACGTTTCTTGGAAAGTCTTTGAGTGAAGACGAAATAAATAGAATAAAGGATCATTGTTGTTTTATTAATATGTCTCAAAATCCATCTGTGAATTATGAACATTGGGAAAATCTTGGAATAAGGAAGAAAAATAGTGAGAAATTTATGCGGAAAGGTAAAGTATGCTGCTTTTTATATTTAAATATGAAAAATAAGCTTTCTTTGTGTTACCAAAAAAACATTCTCAAATTATCCATATTCTAATTAATACATATTCAAATTACCCATGAAAACATTCCAAAACCCAATCTTGTTCTCCAATATTTGTACATTCAAATTCTGGCAGTATATTGTATATATAAATAATAAACAACTCAAAGCCAGGTGCATATATAGAAATAACCAAAGGTTGCCTTAAATATCGGGCTATAATCTGGCTAATTAAATATATAAATTATTTTAAAGGGTAATGAGCCCTCAATAACTCCATAAACTCAAAACATTTTTTATTGTAAACAACTCCAAAAACTTCTATTAGCTTTTCATCATTTGTAGTGTTAAAAGCAGACATTCTTTTAGAAATATATTCTACAGGGAAGCTGAGGATCACCTTAAAAAGGTTGAAAACATTTTGAAGGTAACACTAAACTTTAGTCATTTTATTCTGTATTTAAATTTGGTTTCATGATAATAGTACAGTAATATGAAAAGAATGTATTTTTGTGATTGAAGAGGAATGTAGTCTTAAGTTATAGAAATAGTAAGATGATTGCTATTAAAACACATGTAGATTGTAGCCAATGTAACAATGCTGCCAGAGCTTTTTGACATTTTATATTATAAAAACATACAAGTACAGAAAGACTTTATTATATATTGCAAACCAATCTATTGTAAATCAGTAAAATTTGAAAGCTATTTAGATATTTGTGAACATGAAATTGCAGTGACGTACAAAAGCTTGTTTTCAACAACTAGGAAAAAAGGTTAATTTGTTTGTGTTGCATAGTTTAAGTTAAAGAAAGCATGTTACTTTTAACTTTTTAAACATTGTGTACGTTATAAATTCATGTGAGGAACCAACTGGGAACTTGACCTAATGTCCATTCCTCACCCCCATAGGACAATCTAGCAGTAGATAGCCAGTTAACTGAGCTATTGAAACAAATGAGGATGGGCTAGTGTTATAGGATTAACCAACCGTAATGGATCTCTTTAATAGTTAAAACTTTTAAGCATGGTAAAATAAATCAACGAAGTCATACTGGCTGGGATGTTGCCCAAGTAAAGGTCCCTGCTGTGTTGGTCAGGGAACCAGGACATTCAGTGCTAAATATGCTACTGGAATGCAAATCAGAGTTAGAAGTCTGAATGGAAAGGAAGTAGAGCTAGCTGAAGAGCTAGAAAACTATAATTTACAAATGGCAAGTATCACTGAAACTGAAGTTGGAGAGACAAGCCTAAACAATAGTTACAAGTTGATCTACTCAGAATGATGCTCAATGCAAGGAGGGTGTAGCCATAGCCTTTTTACATCTGCTATGGAAGCATATGTGAAAAGCATAGACCTATATTATTGTAGACAAGGACATTATCCATTTAGTTGAAGACAAAAGAATCTTTAGAGGTTTTGAAGTTGAAGTGATCATCATCTTGTACTGAGCAAATTAAAAACAGTTATCAATATTAGAAATACGAGATAAAAATGTAAAAAGATGCTTCAACAGATAATTTTTCTATCAGATCTTCCAAATGCCATTAAATACAGAAATATGGTTAATACCACAGCTAATAACATCTCCATTACTGAAATGGATTTAGAGGAGGAATGGTAAAAATAGTATGTGAGCAAGTTGTTTGCAAAGATTGGTCCACCATGGAGTTCTAACCTTTCTAAGAGGTTAGACAAGTAATACAAGAGAAGAAGGCAGCATATAAAAGATATCTGACAATCAAGACCATAAGCAACCTATTAGATTATAAAGCTAAATGTAAGACAGCTAAACAAATGCGATGGGGGAATTTTGGGACAAATAGAAAGCAAGTATGAAGAGGGGGACAAAATGTTCTGGCAATTAGTAAAGAATCTCAGAACTAGTGGAAAAATTGTAGCTAGAGGAATAAAGAATGATAAAGGTGAACTTATAACAGAAGAGAAAGATATTCTAGAAGTATGGAGAAAATACTTTGAACAGCTACTGAATGAAGGAACGACAAATTTAGGCAAACAAGAAAAAAGTACCGAAATTTTGAAATTATCAGATCCTATCTCGGTTATAGAAGTGGAAAAGCTGTCAGTGTAGACAATATCAGACCTGAGATGCTGGTCATTACAGAAGAGCTTTAATTGCATTAATTCAGGGGTCGGAATTAGCAGCTCTTTGAATGTAAACTCCAATTTCACCTCACCTCATTTCACCGAGCCTTATAACTTATGAATTTGAGATAGAGCCACCGAACAAACTTTGACTCACATGGCATACACTCTACCACTCTTTAGCCCATCCGCACGACCACACTTGTGTTGATTAATGAGTCGCATGCGAGTGGCAGCATTTGAAGCATATCTATATATACATAACCGTTGAACGCATGTCCGTCCGTGTAACGTTATGCCAAAAATGGCCACTTAAGGCACCCCTGTCGTATTTCGCACATTTAAATTAACAGTATAAATTATTATTCATTTGGCTAATAACAATATAAATAATTCAGTATATTTGTAATAGGAATTTATTATTGTCACAGAATGCCTGTAACACGCATGAGGGGGCATCTCTGGTGTGTGTTATATATGCGGCTCTCCGATAGTTTTGTTATACTGTTTCAATGACAATTTGGCTCTTCTCACTTGAGAAACTGCTGACCCCTGCACCAATACAAAAAATGAAAGTAAAACAGAATGTATGTATTAATTATAGACTCCTCAGTGTACCAGCTAAAATTTATGCCAGTATTTTACAAAAACAGGTCAGGTGAATAATTGAAAGTGACCTAGGAGAAGAACAGACAGGCTTTAGACCAGGGGTTGCCAAACATTTTTGATTGTTGATCCCCTACAACTTTTTGAAATCTCACATCGACCCCTACCAATCAAAACATTTGTTACAAAAATGATTAACTGACAATCAGTGAGATGGGTGAGCTTGATGATCCTTAGCAATATTTTGTTCAAAATTTACAAGTTGTAATTCCACATTCAACTTATTTCTCGGTTTGGTTAAGATGGAATTAACATGGCTGAAACCAGCTTCAACCAATATCACAGTTTTGTGTATTTTTCTGCTATATTTGTATTCGTCCAGAAATTGCTCAAATTTAAATTTTTAAAAAGCATTTTTGCTTTAAGGTCGGCGAATAATTCAATAAGTTCATCTTGCAAGTTGATGTAGACATTTTCGATTTGAGCAGCAAATGGTGCCATAATCCATTCTTGGATATCAATATTTTCTAAATCTTGAAATCACTGTACTATTAAATTCATTGAAACAATATTCAAAAACAAAATATATATAGTTATATCTGTGATTTTTAGTTTCAATTTTTCCATTGACTCCTACTTTAGATCAAATAGAGGATGCTAAGATCAAATATATTCACTAAGGCAATTGACAGAGAAAACTTGGGAATATAACAAGAAACTATACTTGGGATTCATTGGCCTGGAGAAGGCATTTGATAAGAGTGCCTAGAAGATTACTTTTTCAAGTTCTTAAGAAATATGGCATCAAGGCAATCTAAAGCTTGTGTAGGAACTGCAAATCAGCTGTAAGGATAGAAGGACAAATAAGCGACTGCCTCATCAACCCTGCTTTTACTTGGAACCAATGATAAAAATTGTGAATAATAAAGGGGACAATATACATGAATAATTTAATAAATGAATCAAAATTATTGGCAAACTTCATAAAAATTGGTTTTTACTCTATGCGGATGACATTGTCCTACTAAGCAATAAACCCTAGTACCTCCAGCAATCTTTAAATAATTTAGAGGAAAGTTGCAGAAATTTTGTTATGGCTATTAATAGAGAATCTTTCCATCTTTGCTAAAGTTAGGTTTGGAAATCAGCAGTAGATTAAGCAGGACAGGTCAGGCAGGAAGCAAATTGAGCAAATATATCCAGAACAAAAAATAAGTCATAAGACAAAAACTAGCTGTGTACAACAGTTTTTAAACTTATGTTGACATATGGTTCTGAGAGTTGGGTGAGAGAAATAAGGGAATTAACCAGAAATGAGAGTTTTTAGTAAAATAAGTGGTGTTAATAAATGGATACAGTGGCAACATAATAGATATTATCTTAGGGTTTTTTCCTCAGTCAAGAGTAAGCAAGACTAATCTGAGGTGGTTTGGCCCTGAGGAGAAGATTGAGTGGCCAAACAGATATTCAAAGCTAAAACCAGAGGGATGACCTACACGAAGGTGGATTGATAATGTTAAATTTCTTTCCTCTAAAGCAGTGTTTCTCAACCTCTAACGAATCGTCGCACTGTTACATATTATTGGTTTTAGTGAAGGGGTGCAATGATTCACTTCAAAATTCCGATGCAGAGGGCCAAGGCTAACACCAAATTCATACTGCATTGAATAGAGCAGTGATTAGTATAATGTTATTTTATTCGTTATATCGTACAATAATTAAACAAATATCTAATTATTCTTAATACAATGTTTTACTATATCGCCCATAAAATTGTTTTTCGCCCCCATTGACAAACACTGCTGTAAAGCCTGCTTAACTTTAGAAACTTCTATGTTGATAGGAGAGTTTGGAAAAAAGTACTGGATGGTAGTATAAAAGTTTGATTTTTTTTCACCATGTTTACCTGTACACTCTCTGGATTTCAGCTGGAATGGATGATGATAGTTTTATACTGCATAGTGTTAAAATCTAGTCATGGCTATTATTTGAATACTGTAGAGACCTTTGAATGTAGTCTTGTTACATTCTACGTCACATTCAAACAACACAGATTTTTTTTTCAGAATGATTTTGCTCTCCAATTAGATTTCTACTTGAGTTACATATAAATTCTATTCTGTGATGCATGTTTCAGAAATATTGTTTTACACTAATAATTATGATTTCTTTTTACCCATTAGATGTAGACTGTTGAAAGATTTTATAAAATTAATGATGTGCTTATTCTTATTTCGGTCAAGCAAATGCCATAGTTTGTGACTTGTGACTAGCCTAATATCAAGATCAAATATTTTACACTACTTTATACAGTGTTGTGAATTACAATTTACTTTATCATCATTTGTACAAAACACCTAATTTTTCTGTGCATGCCTTCTCTGTGAGAAGACAGAGTACATACAAAAGAAGCAGTGAGGCAAAAGCCATGGACGAAAGTGACTTCTATGCATATGTAGCTAGAACTATTTTTAAGATTATCAGCACAAAACTTTTCCTACTAATTTCTAGCCGTATTAACAGGAGTACAAACGTTTTCAGCCTTCTTAATAGGCCTTCCTCAGGTACACTGTGGAGCGTCAGTTAGAAGAAGTTTAAACACACACCACTCCACAGTGTACCCAAGGAAGGCCGAAAACGTTTGTACTCCTGTTAATACGGCTATAAATTAGTGGGAACGGTTTTGTGCTGAGAAAGTGCCTTCACCATTTTTTTTTCTTTTTTAGGTAAAGTGGGAGACTGGCAAAATTATTTCACCTCTGATATGAACGAAAGAATGGAGAAATGGATCGATGAACACTTCAAAAAAGATGGATTACAATTTTGTTACACATTAAATGATAATTTGCAGTAAGTTTCAGACAAATAAATAAAATGTGACTTAGGTGTAATAATGGGTTTTTAATTAGGTCCTAAAACTTTATATTCAGACGCGATGGACAAATGGATCCCAGTTTGCCAGGGCATTCGAAACCACCACTCCCATTCCGTAGTTACTAGGATGTTTTATTGGAAAACCTGACTGCGTATTCTCCTGCATAGATAAAATGTGACGCTTCTCTTCAATATTTGAGACAGTTTGCGAACGGTTGTCCATAAGTTTCAGGGATTGTAATTTTAGTACCTATAAAAGAAATTAACTAACTTCAGAAATCAAATTTAAAAATGTAAAAATTACATGTAAAACATTACTTCGGCATCTATGGCTTTAAATTGCCAATTCCATTGTACATTATAAAGGAACTGTCTGTGGTCAAATCTGTTGTCGTCCGGGCTGTAAGATGCGGCATGGTAGGAAGGAGTTAGGACAACCATTTTGTGACGATTTATTGCGTAGTGTCTAAAGAAGTACTTTACTTTTTCAGCAACCTGGGTTAGCAATACAATTAGTCACCAAATGTATTATCTCTAGCATCAAATTAATGATGCGATCTACCTACCTCGGCCGGCATGTATTTGTGTTCCCATTTATGAATTAATTTACAAAACATCGAGTAAGGGCCACAGCCATCCTGTTTCCTTAATCTTCCATACATTTCAAGTTCCTCGTAAGTCATTCCCATATCTTCCTAAAAGAAGCATTTAAATTTTGTGTAATAAATTCTAAAATTCTGAACTACAGAACCATTAAGTTCTCACCTCATCAGTCTGTACATATTTTCCATCTACCAGAGGCTCCAATTCTGCAGTGCTGGGTGCTACTAATATACTATAAACAAATTTCTTTTACCTTCATATTTGTTGTTTATGTAAATTAGAAATTGTTTCTTACTTGTTTAATGCAGGAATTTCAAATTTTTTTGCAGCATACAGTAAGAATCTCTTCAAGTCTCCTTTACAGATTCCTCCAATCGGATTTATATCTCCACTTGAACAGTCATATTTGGTTAAATAGCCACGTAATCTAAATATTAGATTTTTGTTTTAATTTAAAACATTCATTAAATGATGCAGTCATAAACCAAATGACAGTCTTTATTAGTAGACTATTTTATGCTAATTAATAATTGTTCAAGATTATATTAAATTATTATAGTCTATGCACCACACAGTAATCAGAGATTACAGTTCGACTCCCACTTCTGGCCGATTGCTTTTCTTCCAGACTGTTCTAAATTATGTTTAATAACAGATGGCACTTAATAATTAGATGTTAACTGTAGCATAAAATAGTCTAATGTATTAATAATATGTATTTATGCAGTCATTTTGTTTACTTTACCCTTCATCCACATTGGCAGTTGCCAGAACCAGGAGTTCTCCAGATAGTCCTCTGGCCCAAAGCATCAGCTGTGCAAATAAGTATGCAAGAACCATTCGTAAACGTGCCTGCAAAAAAATGTGAAATTTTTAATTGTAGTAGGAAATTTTATTTATAAAGGTTCTTCAGAGATCTAAAAAACCAAAAAGGAGGAAATGGAATTTTATCAAAATTTCTATCTTCTGTGGACAGATTTATATATATATTTATATATGTCGACAATAACTACCATGTAAATTCAGACACTTGTCAAGAAATTTGCCATCTAGGAGCTGAGCCATTAATTTACTGGTACTCCATCTATCAGTCCCTTGTGTGGAAATGTTGCTTCCCAGACAGATCTGCTTCTGCAGGAAATGATGAGAATCCTTTGAGGCAGATCTGGATTATACATTTAGCATGAAAACAGGTTCCAACAAAACTGCTGAAGGTTTCTAGAGCAAATGTCAGTTGTTGTTTGCCACATACAGCTGTCAACATTTGTGTTGAATGTCTCAATGCAAGCATGTATGTATGTCATGCAGAAACAATAACTGACATTTGCTCTAGAAACCTTCAGCAGATTTGTTGAAACCTGTTTTCATGCCAAATGTATAATCCAGACTCGCCTCAAAAGATGAAAATCTTTTCCTGCAGAAGCAGATCTGTCTGAGAACGCAACATTTCCAGACAAATATGGAACCACTGGATGGTGTAAATGATTGGCTTAACTTTTATTGACAAGAATACAGAAACTTGTCCTACACAATGATAAGTGCCTGAATTTACAAGGTGATTAAGGTTGAGAAGGAACCTAGACATTTAACTGATCACAGAAGATTAATTGACACTAACCTGAATGTTCTGTAATGCAAGATTTTCTCGCATACTTCCCCCTCGAGCTGCAAACCTCGGTATTAGGGTAGTTGCAGCAGTAAATATTCCAATCACTGCATTGATTGCAGTATCAATTATTATACTCGTGTGATAACTAAATTATAGTAAAGCAAATGTGAGAAAAATTATATTAAAGGCAACAGGTAATCATGCAACATTTCAGTTTAATGCTGTTGTCATAAGTACCTTCCAATTTGATTTGCTAAGTCTTTGGCATAGGCTTTGGTTTCTTTGGAAGAATTTTCAGTTCCCATGTAACAAGTCACTAACAGGCGGTGACATAATTCTCTTGCATCCTGAGGTACGTAATTCTGATCTCCAGTTATCCTCTGAATGTCTTTTAAAGCATTAGAGTCTGAAATAGAAAATATTTTCTAACCTGATTCTGTTATGAGTTTAAATTCAGCCACCTTTTTTTACCTCCTTCCTTGATGGCACTACAAACCAGTGAGCACATGGAGTGAACGATGACAGCAACACTGCTGCTGTCGATACCGCCACTGAGAGGCAAAAAGAAACCACCCTGATTGCTGCGGCGTAAATAGTCCCACAGCCAACATGCCGGACCTAGACTTAAATTAAGAAATGTACAAATGTACTGTCATAAAAACACAGAGAATAAACAAGCTTAAATACCTGATCTCTTCTTCTGGCGTGTGATATTCCCAAAGAATCGGTTCAAACGTCGGTAATGCAATGTCGTATTCGTTTGATAAGGCAAAATCGACTTTGACTCTGGGATAAACTTCTGATCCAGCCGCCTAAAAATTTTGTTTGACCATGAAAAATTAATCCTTTTAATTTTCTCGTAATAAGGGTTTGTTTACCATAGAATTACGACTTCTGATTGAATTTCGATATGTTCTCACATCTTCTAAATCTAAAGTCGCAGTGATTACTTCCTGTAAAATACAATGACTTATTTTAGAAAATAAATCTGTGTAATACAATTTTCTCAGGAACACAAACTGGAACACAAACTGAACCAAAAGTCTGTCTGTACTTGATTCAAAATTCTTCAAAGGAAACAAAATGTTTTAAATGCTTTGTAAACAAATAGCACACAACATGTTACTTATACAATTCAATTCAATTCAATTTATTTACGGAGGCATAAATGCATACCTTGGCTCCGCTATGAGCACTACCAACATGTTACTTATACAGTCGACCCCCCTATAACACTTGATTATTCCGTTTTATATGAATTCCATGTTGTATGAGTCACTTAGATTTTACAAATATGTGTGCCATTCACAGCCCGGCACACGTATTTGTAAAATCTAAGTGAATCATACAACATGGAATTCATATAAAACGGAATAATCAACAGTGTTATAAGGGGTTGACTGTATTTAAATCAGTGTCACAGAAATACAAGTGACAAGTTACTTAAGAATATCTTGTCCAATCTAAACATACAAAGGAACAAAAATTTTCAACCCACACTCTGTCTTACGTCTGTTAGATATAATATTTGTAGTTGGACTTAAAACAGCAACAAAGTTGGACATGTGTTTCCAGTAGCAGGCTGTTATGGAATTTCTTAAAGCCAAAAAATGTGGCGTCAAAGATTGGAAACTGTTTATGGAGAGCAGTTTGTCAGTGTTTTCAAATTTAAATGAAAATTGGCTAACAAAGCATGGTCAAGAAGACTAGTGACAATGGGGGACTTCTACCAAAGGAGAGTGGAAGAAAACTGAAAATTGCTTCTAAATTAAGCATTTCAAAAGTACAGATAGGCCACATATTGTTGGATATTGTAAAGTGTGCACCAGATGGGACGAAGGCCAGATGAATCTGAATCTCAAGGGTGAAACGTGGGTCCATCACAACCTACAGGAAAAAAAAGACAGTCTAAAGCAGTGTTTTTCTACCTTTTTCTCATCCCCAACTGGTAAAATTATATATAATTACTTAGTCCACCTAAAATTATCTATGCTTATCTAGAGATACTGTACATAACAAAGTATGTATGGTACATGAACTCTAAATCAGTGTTTTTCAACCTGTGGGTCATGACCCCCAGGGGGGTTGCGAATCCTTACACGGGGAGTCGCAGGTAAAAGAAAAAGACAAGTGTTTGTAGGTCCTACACTACATTAAAAAAAACTACAATTTCAGGCTGTACCTGTTTATTTTACAGTACAATTGGTTTTTTGATCGATATTTAGGTCTCAACCATGGGTGTAGCCAGGGAGGGGCCTGGGTGAGTACGGCCTACCCCAGAAAATCATAGTGGAAAAAGAAATAAAAAGTAGAAGCTGAAAATTCTGATCAAAAAAAAAGAAAAAAAAAAAGGGTCAACGGCTCCCTGAGCCCAATGTTATAATTAAAGGAAGTTTCATACTTTGTGTGTGTTAAGTTACTGTCAATTCTTATGAAATTTTCATTTTAATCAACAATAATTTGTCTCAACAGAAAGAAAATTAAATATATAGTTTTTAAAATCACTGATATAGTTTTAATTTGGCCCTAGGGGGTCGACAGAATTTTTTAACTTGTAAAGGGGTCGTGTATTCAAGAAGGTTGAAAAACACTGCTCTAAATTAATGTTTAAATGTCATCCATAATCAACTGTACCACTTCAGTACAGTCAAATATTTTTCTTTAGACCAGTGTTTATCAACCACTGGTCTAAAGAATACTGTCATAAGGAGGAACAACCCAAAAAAACTTCAAAATGCATTTGTCAGAAAATGTCATTTTTTCAAATGCACAACAATGTGGTTATATTTAAAGGATGATCGCACCCCAGGTCTTGGGTCGACACACCAATGTTCTAAGTTACATTTCAAACTTTTACTCCAACTGAAGAGGGACATTATTTTCTCCAAAGTGAACATTTCAAACCTAAAGAATATCAATGTGTCAATGTACAACCTGTGGTGTTATTGCCCTTGAAAGAAATAAAGTACAGTGGGTGATCGGTTAACGAACACTTTCGTGAAAGATTTTTATGTTCGGACAACGAACACCTCACAGAATAAACACAAGAAGTGATGTAAAATAATGAATACCGATTGGTCTTCTCTTGTCTTCAGGCAACAATTCGAAACTTTTTGGAGCACGAGAGACATCGACATTGACGCTCAACCCGGTATATACTGATTGGATAGTATTCCTCCAAACATAGGAAAAAAAAAAAAAAAAAAGGCTGGATTACAAGGGAGAGTTTCAGACAGAAACTATTCTTTTATAGTGTTCGCAAGACTGTTGGGCGAGCACTTGTTAAGTTTTGCATCAGTTTTTATTTTTGTAAAGTGAGAGTATAATAGCAAAGGTAGAGAGACTGGGCAGATGATGTCTGATGTTGCTGGGCAGTATGGCTCAAACAGTAGGCCACAATTCAATCTTATCTAAGAAAGATACAGTATAATCAAGAAGACTCAAGCAGCTAAAGGAGTAACAAAAATCACATCTGAGAAATAAAGAACATTGAAGAGCTCATAATGGAAACTGATCTGACGACAGAAGAGTGCCAAGAACTCTTGAATAAAGAACACCAAGAAACTCGGTGAGATTAATTCTCTTCTTCAGAAGAAAACATATGTCGATATCTGCTATTAAACATTTTTTTGAAGAAGTCGGATGATGTCAGAACGACGGTTTTAGAATGGCATCCAAACCAGATTGAGATTAATAGGCTTAGGGATATCTACAATTACAATGCTATTAATTACTTTCGAAAAATCTTGAAGAAGAAAGAAAAGCAATCGACATTGGACAGATTCTTTAACCCCCACAAACAGAAAAACATGACTAATAAAAATGCAAGACTTCATATATATGTATTTTTACTATTACATATAAATAAACGTAATAAAAAATATATACTTTTATGTATTTTTTTGAAGTCTCCGCAACAAATTAATCAAATTTCCATAAAAACCTATGGTAAATTAATAATCGGTTAACAAACAATTCGGATAACGAACAAGGTCTTGGAACGGATTGTGTTCGTTGCCTGATCACCCACTGTATAGGACAAAAAGCTTACCATATAGAAAAGATCATGTTGACTGCATCGTGGAATATGCAAGGAATTGTTTTGGCAGTTTTTTGAAAGGGGTCTACAATCAATTCTTGGCATTACATTCAAATGCTGAACAAACAATGAAGCACTACTTCGGCATGACGATGCCACCACAATCAATCAGATTGGACTTTCTTCTAATTCCCCATCCTCTGCATAGCCTCAACCTTTCAATGAGTAACTTCTAACTCTTTCCAAAACCAAAAGAACACTCATAGGCAAATTCTAAATGTTTGCCTTGCGCCAATCTTTGAAGACTTGTGAGGCGATGGCTAAAACATATCCAGGTTAATGATAATTTCGAAAAATATGTACAAAGTATGAAAATGTAAATATTGAAACTTCACTTCGTTTTGTTTCATTAATCCCCTCCCACACCAATTTATTAACATAGGGACAAAACTTTTCAGCTTGACCTCAGGCTTTTTTAAGAAATAATAACTGTCCATATACATGTGGGTGACAACTTGAGATGTATGAGATTTTAATAAAATACTACATATCTCCTAGTGTACTTTATAAACAGGTAAAGCCGTTTCTTTCAAATTATTCTGGACAACATCTTTTAACAAGTTTTTGAGTAATAGATGTAAGACTCATAAATTTTTACGCGGTCCAGTCCTAGTACCCATACAATTTAATGTTTAAGCTATTTTCCCTCAGTAAATCAAAGTTTTCAGGCAGAATTCTTAAAAATTTCCTCCACCCTTCCACTGTCGACAACTAATCAGAATTGCTCTAGCCACTTGCTACTCTTGTTCCTTTGTACTGTTTGTGTCAGTTAGCAGCTAGTGTAGATTTTGTACAGGACAACAAGTTTTTATGAAGGTCACATTAAAGAATATGACCAAGCAAAAGTTCAGAGTTTGAAAGAAAAAGTGCAGTTAACTAAAGATATGGAAGAAAGTACAAGTAAAATGAAATGTATGGCAAAAAGTATGATATTCCATCTAACATGTTCCCCACTATCATGAAAAGATATATGGCTAGCAGCAAAGCACACATGCCTTTCTGGAAGTTGAAGCAGCCATTCCAAAATAGTTTCATATAGCTTGCCAGAATTTTGTTTGGACACAAAATTTCGACAAGTGGAACTCTGCTACAGAAAAAAGCTATGGACTTTGCAAGACATTTTCAAGCAGAAAAGACACTATGCCAGAAACAAGAACTCTGCATGGCAAAGTGAAAGATGGTTTCCTATCTTTTGAAGTCCTTGGCAAACACTTGCTCAAACTTCTTGCAGATTACTAACTGTGTAATGCTTTTGACATATTTTAAAAAGGAGCCAGTTTTATCAATTCCCAAACAAGACTACAATGTTTAAAAATTGCATTTGGGTGGAAAATTAATTAAAGGACGTTTGATTGTAGTAGTCAGGGCCAATGCTTCTGGAAAAGAAAAGCTATCCCAGTTTGTTGGTCATAGGAAAGTATAAAAATCCACATTGTTTTTTAAATGTGAAATCTCTCAAAGTACAGTAAAGATGGCATTGATGGAGATTTATTTACGTATTTGTGAAAAGTTGGTGATTTCCCAACAAGTGTAAGACAGTATTTTTTAAGAAAGGGTGCTAAAGTAAGATTTACAATTCATTCTTTAATCATTGTTGTATGTTATCTGATAATTAAACTATATTATGGTTAACTGTTGCAAAAATGCTGTAATTTTTTCTGCCTTCAAGCTCTGTTGAACTAATAAAAACTCAAAGTTTTTTGTCATTCTCTTTGACTTATTGTGAATCAACCATAGTAGGGAGTGACTTGGCGGTCAACCAAATGTTCCAGATTACTTTAGCTGTGTTAAAATCTCTACTTTTGGCATATTATTTCTACAGTTATGAGCATTGTATCAGTATTTGTACAACCACTAGACAAATTTCCTGTTGTCATAACCCACATATGCCATATTATTCCCATACTGCTGCTTTTAAGTCAGTATAATGTACAAACAGAATAACATCTAAACACAAATTTCCAACAAATAAATACACAACTATTTAGTGTTCAAATTTGTGTTCAGGTGTTATTCTGTTCATGTATAGTTCCAGTTTACTTGTGCAGTTGTTGTTTTAGTATAATGTACAGTACTCCCCATTTCTGCATTCTTCTGGGATTTTATCCATTATTTCTCAATTGTCAGTAGACGGTGAGATTATACTTGCTTGGTGACACAATGCCACTGACTAAGTTTATATGTATTGAGGCAATCCTAACCAAATAAGGTAACTATACAAAGCACACTGCCACTAAAACAACAGGCTTTATAAAACAACGAACAGCGGCATTCTTACACCCCAGTGTGATTTTTACATCCACATACCCTTTTGAGCTCTTGTTTTCACTGTGCAGGGGTTGACAGTAGAGAGAATGCTGTTTTAATTAAGGCCCCAAATGGTTATGTCAAAGGCTGTCAAATGATTGAATAAAATTTTTTTCACAAACTTACCACTTCTTGGAGTGCAAACTGCCTGGCCCGAGAAACCACATGTCCATTAATGGCAATGTGCGAACAACCTTGATAGTAGACTCTCTCTCCGTCGCATCCTCTCAAATTGGAAAATAAATAAATCCCTCCATTCTGAAGAAAACTTTAATAAATACCTTTGTTACCTAGCAACTATAATTAATTAAATAAAAATTAAATTTACTAATGAACCTTTGCCGTTGCAGATTTAACCAAATCGACGAGTACATAGGCTTTGCGTAACTCGTGATAGGAGCCACTTCCGTTCACGAATATTTCCACTCCGTCCAGGGCATATGGAATGTGGGTGCTGCATTTTGTTGAATGGACAAAATGGAAGAAGTTAAAATTAATTTTCCTTTTTATACTTTACCCAATTCTTCCATTTTAGAGTTACCTGCAAGGATTCCACAACTCTTCGCATATCTCGAATCCAATACAAGTGTCTAACGTGGAGATCACTCCGTCTCCAAAAGGAACAGTTTTCTGCAAATAAAAGATTTCCCTTCAAGTCCCATGACTAGAAAAATAACCATTTTGTTTAGGGTTCCTGCCAACCTGTCCAGTGACATCGCGGATCATCCTGGGCAGAAAATACTCTTCGACCTTCCGGCACTTCTTCCAGGGTGTAAACCAGCGGCTCTCCCGGTAATTACCATCGTCGCAGAGCATCATTTTCGGTCGAATTAATAATATTTTTCTGGTTAACAAAAATTTCATTGAATAAAATTACAAGTCTATGGAGCCAATTTAAACATAATTCTGTTACCTGTTCAAGAATGCTACTCTGCAGTTGTAAGTCACATTTTTGTGCATGACTGGCCTACAAATAAATAAAAACTGTAGATTTTGAACAAGATTATAACAGCATAACTATCATACAGGGTGTGCAAAAAGTTACCATGCAGCGAGAGATTTGTAACGACACTAAAGTCATATGTAAAATATTTCATACGAGACCTGTAAATTGTAAGTCCGATGTTTTCACTCTGCAGTAAACAGTGTCATCACTCACTCTCAGATTTCTGATTTTCAGACTATAGTTTTTGAAAGATTTCATTATAATAGCATAAGCTCCTACAGAATCTAGCCCACTTGGTCTCCAGACTTCGCTCTCCCATATTTTGGGGCATCTAGGGAGCATTTATGGCATTTGCCATAGGAGGAACTGCACATCAAAAAATTTGTTTAAACTTTTTCCACTGTACTGTAAATTTTCAGACACCCTCTATTTATGTCTTACATAGACTTGTGATAAACTTGCTTATTAGAAAGTAATTCCTTATTCCTTATGTCAGTTATTGTCTTCAATCACTAATCTTTTTTAATTAGGTTGATTTTTCTCACAGCAAATATTATCCAGGTTCAATGCACATAATTTTTATTGTGGAATGTTTTAAATTTTACATATGCATTTTGGGCTAATGTAAATTCTTAGCTTTCCTTCAGTGCTGTTTAAAAAAACAGCATTACAATAAATCATGATATACTACATAATGTAAATTGCAATGACATAGTTACTAACATATGAGAGTAATTACAATTCGAAACCATCGGTACACAACCTTTACCAAACATCTAAACTACTCTAAGTATAATTCTAATTTATTGGTTCACCTTTCAAATAAACCACTGTAAATTATTATGTTCAAGATGAATTTAATTAAATTACAAGTTGAAGATTGGTTTATACAATTAATTAAATTTGCATATAATAATAATTATTTTCAAATAGATCAAGAATTTTATAGACAGACTAATGGTATTAGTGTGGGGTCAAAGATGGAGCTAAAATTAACAGAAATCGTTAAGAAAGATTTTGATACTTCGTAATTTTTTCATCCGATGGTTCTTTTTATTTTTTAATATTTGAAGACAAGTTCGCCCATATAGGGATCACCATTTTTTGCTTTTGTGTTCTAGACAGTACATTTCCGGCAACCGACCTTCCTTTCTAGGCTACTAGCTGCCAAAAAGTTTAAAAAGTCCTTTTAAAAACACACAAAAATATCCGATTAAAAAGGACTTTTTAAACTTTTTGGCGGCTAGTAGCCTAGAAAGGAAGGTCGGTTGCCAGAAATGTACTGTCTAGAATGCAAAAGCAAAAAACAATGATCCCTATATGGGCAAACTTGTCTTCAAATATTAAAAGATTTTGATAATTTAATAAACAATATAAAAGGTGTAAAATTGAGTGTTACATATGCAGACGATTATTTAATAATATATGATAATAAACAAACAAATTTAAAAACACTTTTTAAGTATGTATAGTTATCAGTGGTATATTAAGGAACACACACAAATTGAAAAATACCACAAAGATGAAATTGTAAACATTTAAGATGGTATGAAATAATACAAAACATATTATCAGTTTAATAAGTATGGATATAGTTTGGTCGGCTGATTGTAGTTTTTGTTTAAATTATAATGCTATACCACAAACATTTATGGTTTAATGCAGGGGTGTCCAACCCGCGGCCCGCATGCGGCCCAAGGCAAGTTGCAATGCGGCCCAGTAAACTGTAAACAAAAGTGACAATTTTTTAATATTTTATTTATTTCAATCGCATAAACTTCAAAAAAGAAGTTTCACACAGCCGCGAAACTTTATATTTATATAGTACTATTAAGATGGCTACTTTTGAGTTACTTTTTAAAAAATTTTTGGCTACAAATACAAAAACATCTGGCAACACTGATTCGGTTTTTTTTCGTTTCCACTCAAACGTGACTCATTACTCTTGCTTTTATTTGTGAAACAACAAATTATATTATTTTTAAAATATATTTAATAGTTGTTTCTTTTTAAGACAAGTAAGTAAATACATATTATTTTTGGATAGATTCAGTGGTGATATTCAGCGGGTTCGCACAGGTTCGGCCGAACCCGTTGTTAACATTTTCAAAGTTTTCCGAACCCGTTGTTAAACACACGTAACATTTCTCAGCGGTTTTGTTTCTTTTAAAAAATATATTAAAATATACGTATTATACTCTGTAACACTACTAAACTAGAGCCTTATACCCCGTTCGCCATGGTGCAACCTCCATCGACCGTTTCAATCTCGACTGAAACGAGATTTAATCGCGATCGACTCAAGAGAGTTCTTGAAACTAGGTCCAGTCATACGAGAGATCCCACAATCCCACGCGCGCGAGAAAATACAAGATGGCTGCGGAACACGTGTCGGGCTATCGACAGCGAAATAAAAAAGATATTGTATTTCGAGAGACGATGACATCTGTCTATTATTATAATAATACCTAATGATAAAATAAATGATTTAGAAAAGTTTTTTCTTGAGAAAAAGTCATAAGGAAAGCAATTAAACCTGCTTTTCCTGTGACTTTTTCTGATTAAAAAAAACCAATTTTTATGTTTATAAAATATTTTGAATGAAAAATATTAAAATATGTACAAAATAAACCATTTTGAACACTTTTTTTTTATTATTTATCAAAAAAATATAGTTCTGGCATAAACAATGTTAAATTTTAACTGACTTAATTTTGCGAATGCATCTTTTTTATTTATATGGGTATCTTAAAGTCAGTTTTTGCGTTAATGTTGCTAATGCACCATTTGAGCGAAAAAAAAATTGTTAAGGAAAAATTTTATGTTAGCAAACCCTTTGTTAAATATTTCGAATATCACCACTGGATAGATTTACCTTAGGTAGCCAAAATGGCCGTGCTTCCGACTGTTCATGGTCCAGAGGGACTCCTCCCGAAGGGGAGCCGCCGAGTGCAAACGTCACTTGTTATTGATTCACAGTGTTTCTTGAACAAAATAAATAAAAAAAAGGTAACGTCTACTAAAAATGTAGCTAATCTAACCGAAACGAACCTAATCGAAGCGCCACCATTTTGGCTGCCTAAGGTAAATCTAACCTTTTTTTAAATTACTTTTAAATAACTAAGTACAGTATTGTCAATTTACCTGTCAGCATGGCTTCTACGACTCAACAAAAAACAGTTTCTAAGAAAAGGAAATATATCGATGAAAGAAGGTTATTTAATGAGAAATGGACAGAGGACTATTTTTTTCTTGAGGTGAAAGGTGAGGCACTCTGCCTAATTTGTCGTGTTTCAATACCTGTCTTCAAAGAGTATAATTTGAGAAGGCATTATGCACAAAAACACGCTTCCAAATTCGATGCATATCAAGGAATGTGTCGCAAAGACAAAGTAATGGTACTGAAAAAAGATCTTATATCTCAACAAAAGGTTTTTAGCAACGTTACAACTCAGACAGACTCCTTTGTGAAGGCTAGTTTTGTAGTCGCAAATTTAATCGCCAAAAAATCAAAACCATTTTCTGATGGCGAGTTTATTAAGGAATGCATGGAAAATGTTGCAGATATAATTTGTCCAGACAAGAAAAGTGATATTTCTAAAATCAGTTTGTCTCATCAAACTATTGCAAGGAGAATTGACGATCTCGGGAAATATATCGAAAGCAATTTGAAAAGTAAAGCCTGTGGGTTTATATTTTATTCTTTGGCCATGGATGAAAGTACTGACGCTACTGATACGGCTCAACTCGCCGTTTTTATTAGAGGTATAAATGACGAATATAGTGTAACTGAAGAAATGCTCTCATTAGTGTCATTAAAAGACACGACAAAATCAAGAGATTTATATGAAGCAGTGAAAAGAACCTTAATGCGATTTTCTTTATCCCTTTCCAATATATCTGGTATAATTACGGATGGGGCCCCAGCTATGATAGGTAAGAAAGAAGGGCTTGTAAAATTAATAGAAAACGATGCCATTGCTGTCGAAAATTCTCGTTTGATGAAGTACCACTGCATACTACACCAAGAAAATTTATGCGCAAAAGCTTTGAAAATGGATCATGTTATGCAAATCGTTGTCAAGACTGTGAATTTTATAAGAGCCCGGGGATTATATCATCGCCAATTCCAAGAATTTCTCAAAAATATTGATGCCGAGTATAGCGATATCGTATATTTTGCAGAAATAAGGTGGCTCAGTCGAGGACAAATGTTAAAAAGATTTTATGACCTACTTAATGAAATCAAATCTTTTATGACATCGAAAGCAAAATCTGTGCCAGAATTTGACGATGCTAACTGGCTTGCAGATTTAGCATTTTTAGTAGATTTGACTGGTCATTTAAATGACTTAAACACGCGTCTTCAAGGGAAAAACCAACTTATTAGTGCAATGTTTCAAATCATAAACGCATTCCAGGTAAAACTGAAATTATGGCAGGCTCAATTAAATGCGAACGACTTTTCGCATTTCAACACATTGTCCAAACATATTCCTAAAAAGGGGAAAAAATATGCGGCCTTTCTTTTCGATTTGTTACAAGAATTCGAAAATAGATTTTCGGATTTTCGGAAAAATAATCTCAATTTTTGTATTTTCGCGACTCCATTTACAGTCGATATACCAATGCTGCCAGCAACTTTTCAAATGGAATGCATAGAGTTGCAATCTGACATCCAGCTTAAAGAGAAATTTGATCATGTCTCTTTGTTTGACTTTTATAAATCATACCTACCCAGAGACATATATCCCACACTGCACAGTCATGCGTTATTCATGTCATCATTGTTTGGAAGCACCTACATATGTGAACAACTATTTTCAAGAATGAAGCATACTAAGTGTAAAATTAGAACTAAAATATCGGATGAACACCTTGAAGGCTGCCTGAGAATTGCAACTACTTCAATTGAACCAGATATTGACGCATTAGTTGCTCAACAACAATGCCAAATATCACATTAGTTTTATGATTTGGACTTATGCATAAAATAACGCCAAGCGAATTCTATATTTTATGTTTTGCATTTATAATGAAAAAAGTTCTAAATAAATGTTAAATATGAGGATTATACACTTTGCCTTCATTCTGTCTTTTTTTTTTTTTTTCTCATCAGCGATTTGTGGCCCAAAACCCGATAATTTCTTCCAATGTGGCACAGAGAGACTAAAAGGTTGGACACCCCTAGTTTAATGTGTGGTGGAACAAACTAGTAAGAACATTATTGTTTTATAAATGTTAACCTAGGTTTAATCTGCATTTTGTAAATCTTCATTGATCAATGTATATTTTTTAATGAATGTAAAACTAGTAAGTTGTTACTGTAATATGAAATTTTTATTTTTATACAATCAATAATTTTAACATACAGCATTTGATGATTTAACAGGATAGCACTTCTAATGCACTTTAGAACACATACTCCAACTGGTTTATGATAGTTTTTTCCTTCTTTTTGGCTGAAAACAAGTTAGTACTAGCTGTTCACTTATGCTCATTCCTTAACGTGAACACAATGATTTACAGTGATTTATTTCAAAGGTACACTGTTAATTAAATTAGGATTATACTTAGAGTATTTTAGATGTTTAGTTTATATATATACAGTAGATCCCCCTATAAGACTGGTTCCTATAATTACGATTCCTATAAGACGGCGAAAAAATTGTGGCAGTATCTGTACACAACGGTAAAAAAGCTCCTATAATTACGTAAAACGTCATCGGGTAGCTGAACTACTTTCCCGCCGTCCGTAGCGCCATGCTACAGACGTTTAGGCGGGTAAATTGAGTTTAGTTTCGTCTGTACACAATTATATATAAATTAGGTACTGTACATATAATTATATATAAATTAGGTACTGTATATATAATTATATATTAACTTAATTTATTGTAACTTTACTATAATTATATATATGCTTTCTGCCACACTACGAAGAATTTAGGCGAACTATCGTCTGTATAGTATGTAAATTAGGTACCGTAAGTCTAATACAGCACTATAATTTTATACATTTCTTGTGAAAGAAACATTTCTTATTCAACGGCAATAAAAATTATTTATATTAATGATGTCTCCAAAGTTCAGCGAAGTTTTCGCAGAAAAATAACATCAGAAATTGCGGCCGCGGTTTGCTGAGTTGTTCCGCGACGAAAACAAGCTTGAGCAACGGCGATGTCGAATGGTGCACACTCGGTAAGTAATCCTACAATTTTTTGTTTATAGCGTAGTTTATACAGATTATTTCCAAAAAAATTATACGTATTTTGGATATGTTGAATCAGATTAGTCTAGAATCGATTAATTTTATGGAAGAAAACCTTTCAAACAGCCATAGTCCGTAAACTTCACACGTGTCGGGCTGTGATTCCTACAAAATCGGATTCATAAAGAACGGAACGTATCTACCGTCTTATAGGGGAATCTACTGTAGTTTCGAATTGTAATTATTCTCATATGTAAGTAACTATGTTATTGCAATTTACATTATGTAGTATATCATGATTTATTGTAATGCTGTTTTTTTAAACAGCACTGAAAAGTGGCTAAGATAATATATTAGCTTGAAATGCATATGTAAAATTTAAAACATGCCACAATAAAAATTATATGTCATCAAACCTTTTCTGACATGTTGTGAGGAAAATCAACCTAATTAAAAAGGATTAAAGTGATTGAAGAGAATAATAATACAGCACCCCAACAAATAAGAACTTACATCAGTTTGTTAAAAATTACAGTAGAAGAGAGCCATAGACTCAACAACATAAAGGACAAAATAGGAATTGTGTTTTTTTACCTATAATTGAGTAAGCTCTTACATTATGAAGCATTCAATACAATGTTAACGTAACTGCCATTGCTTGATGACAAGTGTGGTGCAGAGGGTTCCACATAGGTCGACCTCTAATCTAGAATTTAACATAGACAGAAAGATGCACACTATATGTTGAACATTTGTATTGATATTCTTCCTGTTGCAAAAACTCACCCATCCAACCCATTCTTCTTGTAAATATTGGGTTCTCAGTTAAAATAAAGTGTTCAGTTTATTCAAAATTAAATGCCTTTGTGTCCTTAATTTAAACTTAAAATGTCAACTATGACTTATTATACTGGATAACTGGTTCTGCAAATTAAGTAAACAAAGTCAGAAAAACGGCCTTTACTTATCACCTGAACACATACATGATATCTTTGTGTTTTGGACCTGTTGGTCCCTCACCAGCAGGTTTACCATAGACATTCTCTCACGTCTTTGTAAACTTTTGCCGATACTCACTGGTAGACTTAAAGTTGGTAAATTTATGGCTTCAGTTTTACATTTTCTTAAATATAATATTTCTGTTTTTAATTTTTCAATTTCTTGTTCTCTGCATTTCCCAGTTCTCCAGAATTTCTGCTATAGATTATTAAAATTGTTGTTCAAATTTAAATGCCTTTGTGTCCTTAAGTTATTAATTTAATATTAAAACATTAACTAGGACTTATCTATTATTAGGATTTTAGTTTAAATTGTTGAATTTGTTATTTTGGCTGTTGTTTGACTCTCTCACCATCAGAATGTAGCCACACAAGTGACTTGGGTTAACAACAATGGCTTGTGAAGAGGTAAGAATAGTAGAATTCCTTATATCATTTTTGCATTGACATGTTGTCATTAGCAATAGCTTGACACAATGTGTCTCCTGTAGATTTCTACAGCTTGTAATTAAAGCTAAGTTTGTACTGGAATACAAACTGCTACAAAATTGACAGAACTCCCAGTTCTTCCCCTTTTGGCAAGTGTTTCACTGGTTCATTAGGAGTTGAGAATATCTCATCTTTTGACTAATCCACTTTTAAAGACTAGCATTTAAAACGTTTTTAACCAATTACATCTTAACTTAGTTTGGGTCACATAGTACAACGTGGACAATGTTTTGTTTGTTTGCATGACGGCGTAAACCAAGCTTAATATGATACATATGTTAGGTATCAAACAAAGCATTATGTTTTTGGGTTTATAATATCTTATGATACAGTTTTAATTTTTGTCTAGCTAAAAATAAATTCTTGTAGAAAATTCAATAGTTCTAGTTACTAACTATTAAAAATATTACTCACATGCCTACGTCGATCAAGATTCCCTCACAGTCCGGATCTTTCAAGAGCTCCGCCAGAATCTCCCACGAATGAAGGAGGGTGTCGCTTTCGTGAAAGTGATCATTGCATCCGTATCCTCTAAAATAAGAAAAATGCATAAACAAACAATTGGTAAGATCGCTGGAATTTAAAACGTTGACATGCTCACGGAATTTCTAATTCGGGTCCAGAACGAAATGTGGCACCCGCAGCCTTGGCCTCTTTTATACCTAAAAGAAAAAGAAAAGATTTAATGTATCTCCATATATTCAAATGGATCAAATTGTAAAGTGCAGAACTCACTTCTCAAGATGCGATGATAGTTTCCCTCAAAATCCATCGCCCACTGGTTCAGAGTGCATGAGGCCAATATCACTTTTCTTCCCATTTTCAATCAAGTCTAAAAAATGCATTAATTTAAATGTAATTTAACAGCAACAAGAATATTTCTATAATTATTTAAGCAGTCCACGGATGCTCAGGCAGTCTTACATACCCTTAAGTCCATCCAAATTTAACTAAACACGCAAAGAAAATATACCACAAAAAATATACTTAAATGGGAAGATCGGAAATGAATCTTAACCTTTTTCTTACGGTTCTGGCAAAATTCAGTTTAACACTATCATCTACAAATGTTTTTGGCCATTTTATGCTTGCCTTACTTGGGCATTAGGAAAAAGAAAAATAGTTCAACTGTTTGTAACGAATACAAATTTGAGTATTTGTAACACACTCTCCACATATGTAAGTCAAACAAATAGCAAAAAAAAAAAAATTATTTATTTAATTTGTAATACCCAAGAAAGTCTGGTGTAACCCATCCCTCCAACAGTCTTCAGAGCCATCTACAGTATTTTGTCAAAATAATTTCTAACTAGAGCAGTTCTCGGCCTCATCACGCAGTTTCAGAATGGTTTAAAAAGGTGACTACAGGGTCAAAATTGTCAAGAAAGGTGACCATTTATAACGGGCATATACATCAAACTGATTTTCATTTGAACATGCGTACGAAGTAGCACAATAGTTAATACTTGAAAAATTACTCACTTATTCTTTTCTGTCCCAGCAGTCAGATATTTTTAACATCACAATAACTACAGTCCCTTACACTTACTTTCTTTTTACATTATTCTTTATTAGGTACCAGAATTGAGTACATACCTAGTACCACAAGGCATAACTAAATGATGATACTGATATTTTAGACAAGCAGTTGAAGTAAATGAAATAGAAGAGTCATGACAATATTAATGGGATATATTATTCAAGAAGGGTGCATGTCTACTTTGGTGAAGTACAAGCAGAGTGTACATAGCAAATACAGATAAAAAGTACACATCACATATTAAGTAATATACAAAATTCTGATATGTACAGTGATAGATTTACAAGGTAAAATTGAGTTAAAATGCAGGATACATAGTGGTATATGTAGGACAAAGTTACTGGTCAGCAGTCGGATTCACAGCAGAGCTTCCCAAGATGTGGTATTTGTTTACAAGTTGCTTGAAATAGTAATACACAGTTTTATTGTTTACTAGCTTACCCGTCACGCATTGCTGCGATCTCAGAAGAAAGGAAATTCAAGCAAACTCGTTATGATAAAATTCAATTTACATTTTATCATTTTTATTGAAACTTATTATTATTATTATTAATTTTCATGGGAAAAACATTTCAAAGTGTATTTATTTATTGGAGTACTTGATACACGATAATTTTTGTTTTTCCGCCTGGTGCGTACACGAATAAATCAGGTTTTCCGACGCGTGAGCGGGCCTCATACAGTTGTCCATGCAAGAAGAACAAATTCTCCAAATTTAGCCCATACACTCGCAGCGATTGTCAGAAGTGTGATATTCCCCATTTTTATATATATATTTTTTAATCCTTTATAATTTTAATTATTTAATTGCTCCTTCCTCTCTTCCTTGGCACGTGAAATTTCTGAGAGTTGGATAATAAACTGTTTTATCGTAATTTGTCTTTTTAAATTATTTTGAGTCGATATTAAAATTTGGAAAAGGGGATCCTTAGATCGGTAAAATAGGCAAATTTCCTCCTACAACTTCGGTCGTTGTTCGGGATATAGTTAAGATTTTAACAAAGTTCGAGCGAATACGTAATTAGCAAAAAAAAATTGAAATAAAGTGATTAAACAAAAATTATTACAAATATCGTAAATAACAGTTCACAAATGCATATATAGAGATATTTTTTGAAGGAGAGGAAATGGTCTTCACAATTTGAAATCGATCGAACACACTGTGTGCGAATGCTCGTGTAAACGCGCACCATCTATCGTAGGGTAAATGCCAGAAAACTTTGCAGGAGTGTATTAAAAAACTTCCCAAAGCTTCATGGCAATCGTACTATGCCACAAACCTTCGCCAGAGTATATTAAACAACTTCCCAAAGTTTCACACCAATCGGATAAACGGTGATAAAGGACAGACACACACACACAAATACATTCATTTTTATATATATAGATTAGGTTGTCACAAGTGAAAGGCCATTGGATATTGTTAGCCTGGACAATAGTTCTAATTTCAGAACATTCTACATTCAGCATAGGGCATTCAAACGAATAGTGTTTAATGCTATCTTCAGTGTTGCAGAAGGCACATAGATTAGTGGGGGCGCCAGTAAATCTTTGAAGGTAGCTTGAGAAGTGGCCGTGATTCGTAAGGAACTGGGTCACATGGTGACCCAATCCATTATACATTGCATTTTCCTGGGATGAACAGAACTTTGGATTATATGTAAGCATTTACATTAAAATGCAGTGTTTTATTTTCATTTGGATATGCCAGAGAAGAGATAATCAATACATAGGATGTAAAGTACTATATTATTTTTCCGACTTTCCAACGATTATCGACACTACTGTGTGCCGGAAATAGCCGTTCCCTAACGGGTACTTTACGCGGATTCGCGTTAGTGTGCCAGGCCTGGACTTTAAGCGTGCACCGAATTAAATAATGACAAAGTTTGTCAATAACAAAATCAAATATTTAATTAAACTTCTAGTAATAAACTATATACAGTATTTAGTAAAAATCAAACAATAATTTATTCAATGAAATTCAACAAGAATCAATCCGACAAACTCAAATCAATCTATTTCTAACTTAATTCTATTCCCCTTTGGAATTCGACAAAATCAAAGAATTAACTTATAAACAATAATTCTTATAAATTAAAGATCCTAATCGTCACCTCAATATACTAGGAACCTATTTCCTCAAACTCTCAAGACTTTCTATAATCGTCGATCCACAAATCGAATAACTTCAAAATCCTATCGGACACCTCTCTCTTTCACTGCTACGAAGCTCACCAAAGCTCGTTGCTATCAGGAATTCACCTCGTTCGTTTTCACTTGAGTTAGAGGCTTTATAGTGTGAGGTGACGTCACAATTCTGAATGAGCTCACTCTCCTCATTTACATACTTATCTGTAACATTAAATTTTTCTTGTTTATCTGGCAGATTATTTTCCGACAATACTTCGCTAACCTTTTACATTATTCTTTTTAACAATTATCGGGATGCTTTATTATTTTAAGGTTTAGCGATTCCTAACTGGGTTGTGGGGTCTTCCCCCCCCTTTTTCTCGGTGCGGACTTACTTTTTCCGCTTGGGAAGCGCAAGTGTGCGCGAGTTTTTCTACGGCGCTTTTCTTTCGTCGGTGAGTTGGTTTTTCTTCTATTTTTAAGTTACTAAGGTGAATGGTGAGGAAACCTTCGTCTTAACTAAACATAAGCCCCAAACAAAATATAATGAAAGCAAAATAAAAGTAAAATAAAAATAAAGCTCAGACTTGGTTCCTTACAAGGATACCATACATGGCAAGTACACCTTTTATTATATTTTTGGTTTCTAGGAAAAACGCTGTTATCATGTCTTTTCTCTTATTGGTCTGGAAAAAATCGGTACATAACTATTTTTTTTCACAGTATCACTTGTCTGTACTGCTTTACTTGTTCTAACAAGGTATGTACTATAAGAACCACCTTCCCTGTTTCTTCTGTTGTTGTTCCATCTTTAATTCTTTGTCTCATTGTATCTTCTTTTGTATTTCCTTTTTTTTAGTTTTTCTTTTTGTAAATGTTCACAATAAGTTTTGTGAGCATTTTCACTCATTGTTATGAATTTCCTAGAAATGGAACTGTTACGAGGTCAGTTATCATAAGTCTTTGGGGCATCTCTAACAATCATTGCAGCATCCAACATCCTTTTCGACGTGTGTTTTATCTTCAGTTAACAGCCTTTTGTACGCTGATATCCCTCACTCGACATCCACTCGTCCAAAAGCTGGTCCTTGGCAATATAAAATGGCATAAGTTTAGCAAGTTCAAGAACATTTCTACAACCTGCTTGTGTTAGTCTCTGATCAGGATTTGGACTACTGTAGACCTTTGTATGAGATTCACAATGCACCCCCTATTTGCTTCCAACATTGGCTAAGAGTTAGCAATTACTTCTCGACACAAGCATTAATTTATGGGATCTAACATGGACAGACAGAAGACGGAAATAAGAGAGACGGGGAGGTCCGGAATGAAATGCACTGAACAACAAAATTATACTACATATATTTTCATTGAATAAATTTAATTTTATGTTATTTTTATAACTATGCAACAAAATTACAAGAAATTATAAGTAAATCAAAGAACAATTAATTCTAGACGCTAAACAACAATAATACAGTGGGTGATCGGTTAACAAACAGATCAGATAACGAACACTTTCGCGAAAGATTTTTATGTTCGGACAACGAACACCCCACAACAAACAAGCAGTAGCGACGTAAAATAATGAATACCGATTGATCTTCCTTTGTCTTCAGGCAACAATTCAAAACTTTTTGGAGTGCGCAAGACATCGACATCTACACTCAAGCCGATATATACCGATCGGATAGTATTCCTCCGAATATTGAAACTCTCCCTTGTAATTCCAGCCATTTATTTTTCTGACAAAACAATTCTTTTATGTATTCGTGAGACTGTAGGATAGGCACTCATTAAGTTTTGCGTCTGTTTTTCTTTTCGAAAGGTGAGAGTATAATAGCAAAGGCAGAGAGTAGGTAGAAGATGTCTGATGTTGCTGGGCAGTATGGCGTGAACAGGTCTACAGTAGGCCACAGTTCAATTTTTCATAGTACAGTATTTAAGAAAAATACTGTATAATCAAGAAGACTCAAGCAGCTAAAGGAGTAACAAAAATCATATCTGAGAAATAAAGAACATCGAAGAGTTCATAATGGAACGTGAAACGAATCTGACGACAGAAGAATGCCAAGAAACTCAGCGAGATATGTTTTCTTTTGAAAAAGAGGATTAATGCCGATATCTGCTATTAAAGATCATTTGAAGAAGTGGGAGGA